TGATACTTGTGTGTAGCCAAGAAGGTGTCTACTGGCAGTCAAAAAAAAAACAACAAACCAACACAAATGCTTTTTGTATGAAACAGATTTAATAAAGAGATGGGGTGAGTGCTAATTTTCTCCTTGAGAAATTAGAATATGCAAGCCTTGGGCAAGGTGAGTCTGTGTGACACTGAGAAGATGGGTGTCAGCACCAGGAGCCAGAGCTGCCCTGCTTGTGGGTGCTCAGCCAAATCCATCAACCAGCTCCTGCAGAAGGCTGTAGAGCTAGAGGGATGGCCTACGGAAGGATGGTGAGGGACCAAGTGTAGTTAAGCCAAGCACACACTTCAAATGGGGTGGTTTTGGTGCCTTCTAGAAGTAAGCAGTCTTCTAACCCGCTATCTGGTTTGGTGCTATTCACAGCAGATATCCATGTGCTACTGAAGGGAGGCTGTTTGCCATTATCACACCACACACCCAGTACACGTTGTGAAGAGCTCCTGCACCAATAGCTTCTTACCAGTAAACGTAAGAAGAGGAGGAAAAAGTGGATGTACTAAAGAGAAAGGGGAAGAATGCACTGAGCAGCAGCAGGAGTGAAGACACACCAAGTGCTGTGCCACTTGGGGTGGTTGGTACCTTTCAGGAGTCCCTGTGTAAGCAGTTAGTGCAGCACCTCGTACCTCCCCATCGGACCTTGCAGGAGCTCTGTCCCCCAGCTAGGACAGCCTGCAGCAGGGGACACCTCGGTGAGGCTGCTGGGCATGCTCTCTGCCCTTAGCAAGCGATCTGAGGCATCAGTTGAGCAGGCAGAAGTGCTTAAGCTGATACCCTGACCCTCTGCTGAGGTCCTGCTGTGTTGGTTGCCTTCTAAGTACTTCTTATGCTTTAGGTTTTAAGCTGATGCTCCCCTCCTCCCTGCAGCTGATAACTGCTGGACCATGGTACTAGGAAATATTAGCACAGCATACTTTGAATTCACATAGATTTTGTAGAAAAAGCATTTGAGACTTCCTTTTTTTAGAGTGAGAAGCACTGTCGTCGTGAGTACGACCGTGTGGCATCTTGTTTGGAATTTCCCTTGCTTTCTATATATACACATGCAGCAAAGCCACAGGAAATGGAAGTTTTAAAAAAATGCCATAGAGCATAGGTATGTGCTGCTTGAACAAGCTTTATTCTTGTAGTCAGTTTTATTATTAGTAAGCAGTTAATCTCGAGGTGTCATTTAAGGCTTTTTTTGAAAGACGTGATGTCCTAAATCACTGGAGGAAGAAGCAGACATTGCCTGAAAAGTTGCAGCAGACTTGAGAAGCTTTTTAGGCCTTATACTGCCCATGCTACAGAAGATGGCATTATTGCTGATCTTCTCTCTCTTGGGGCTTTTTGGGGTAGGGATCAACTTCCGAGGCTTCTCCCAGTTGTATTTTCTGAGATTCAGTGAGTCAGTCTTGCCTACAGCTGCTGCTGTGATCGTGTGCTAAGGGCCTACTTCTGCGTGGCAACCAGCACAGTTATCAGTAAACAGCATTTACTTTAAAATCCCAAGCAAAATACATTCTAATCAAGTCCAGGAGTAACGAGAACCAGGAGGTGGAGGGTAGATGGTCTGAATACTTTGTTGGTGAGACAGCTGCTCAGGAGCTCTGAACTTGTCCAGGGTCTGAACTCGGGCGGGTTTGGAGAGCAAAACTGAGGTAAGTTCACTTAGTGAGGGAGATATTTCAGAAGGGATGGACTAATCATGAAGGTAACTGGACAAATACATCTTGGCAGCTCCTAATATGCCAAGACACATTCCTACAAGATCCAGAAGAGACAGTTACCCTTCCTCTGCCTTCCAGCCTCCTTGGACCTACAGTGGTACCTCTGTCTGTCTTCTAGTATAGGTATGCCTCTCTAGAATACCAGAGATTTACAGAAGCTGAAGCAGGGATTGACTTTGCCTGATAACAGGGTTCATTTATCTTGGATGCCTTTTGTCACCAATACAGCAAATTAGGAACCGAGTGCCATACACTCACATCATTTTTCTGTATGGTTTCAGGACTCTATTTTGTGAGGCCTTGTTGCTGCAGATCTGCAGATGATGCGTTTCAGTGAACTAGTGTTGTACAAATGGATAATGAAAGTTCATAAAGTTTATGCTCCTGAAGCTCCTTTCATTTTATGCAGTTACTTTCTTACTCTTATGTCTTTATTGCTTGCTTTTAGGAAAGAAGATGGGTTGCTGTTACCACTTAACCAAACAACACACGCACTTCTTGGATGGCCATCCAAGTGGCAGAGAACACCAGTGGGAGGCCAGAAGGAGCTTTCCTTAATTTAAAGGGTTCAAAATCTGCTGGGAACTTGTGGCTACTTTCGCTTCAGTGATGAGGTAGTGGAGCTGACAGGTTTTATGCATTCTCCTCTGCAAGCTGTGGATTGTGAATGTAGGTGGTGGTGCTTGCTTGGAATGCCTTGATGTGTACGCTTTGCCTGGTGAGGAGAGGGCAAGTAAAGGTTTTATAGTGTTTCCCCAAGAGATCTACCAGTGACTTCAGTGTAAAAGTCAAAGTACTGGGTAATAGACAAGTTTTCTTAGGAGGAATAGGTTATGCCCTATAATCTTAAACAAAAACTTGCATGTAAGACACCAGTAGTTCTTCATAGTGTGTGTAACTGGCTTCTTGGTTAAGCCGAAACAAGAAAAAGGTAAGGATTTTTACCTGCCCCCAAAAAACTCACTGAGAAATAGTAAAGTAAAATAGCTCTGAAGCAAGTTATTTTTATACTAAAAACCAGCAGGGGTGTTCTAGATTTTTGCCACAGGCATCCAAATTCCAGTCATCACTTACTGCACAGCTTTAGGTGGTAGCTTGAATCTGTGCTTTATCTAGAACTTCACATGTTTGTGTCTGTTGGTCCAGTGTGATCCTCTTTGTAGGAGTATCTGGTTTCCCAGCACTGGAGTGCCATCCTTTCTCATGATTCATACCAACCTCTGCTTTGACTGGGGACTAATTTATGGGTCTTAGATCTACAAGGATAGGTACAATTTATTTGTGTACTGCAGATTCTTGCATCTAATTCTTGCATCTATTTCTAAGAGTTGTAGGTCACTCTGTCCAACTATAACCCATAGGGGCTAACATAAGTAGAAACCTATAGCAGACTTGAGCTTCTAACGTATATTAAAGTAGTGATCATCTCAATGCAATAAAAAAGAAGGCACTGCCAAGATCTAACTTACTGTATTACTGTGTTTCTAAGTATCTTGTAATATGAATTACTGGGAAAAAAGTCCATATTCTGCTTTATCAGCCACTGTCAGTATAGTATTAGTGTACATTGAGGCTGTAAACAAGGCTTTTCTAATGAGAACAGTCAGGAAAAGTAAGATTAGTTTATGCCACAGGAAGTTTAATCATATGTTTCTCAGCCTGAATTCTGTGGGCTGCATCTGATCTCTAAGACCTTAAAAGGCAATGTCTAAAATGGTCACTAAAAAAAAAGGAAAAGAAAAAAATCTCTGCTAATTTTGCATGTTGTGTTGGGAAAACCAAGCTAATAATCAATCACAGGTTTGCAGTCAGTTCAAGATTAGATTAGTAAGAACTATTGCACCTGCACGCAATGGCCTGGGAATCTTTTTTGGTAGTATCCCAGCTAAGGCAACATTGAAATCAACCATCATCTTCCTTTATGCTGTAACAGCATCCCAGAAAGGAAGTATCAAGGAAAATAGCCACAATCCTCCTGAAATGTACTGCTTGGAAGGAAGCAAAGCAGAAGACAGGAGCAACATTATACAAAGTAGTTTTCTTTAATTATGAAAGGTCATGATTGCACTTGGCCTATTTACTCTGTATCCCAGCTTTAACTCTAGCTCTGGCATGGTGAGAAATACCTGAAGCCAAGGCTGAAAAACCCTGTGGCCCTGTTACGTCTGTACACTTTAGCTTCTGATACATCTCAGAACAGGCTCCTGCTACTAGTTGAAGTTATCTCCGTTGCAGAGAGGATAAGAAGAAATATATGCTAGCACTGGCAGTCACAGATGTGTGGCAAGGCGCTAAACATGTTCTGGTGCATCTTAAAGGTCATTCTTCCTCTCATAGATGAGGAGTGGTTTTTCAACATATTTGAAAATAGTCTGACACTGAGGTAATGAAATAACTCGTATCTGAAACCATGACATTTAGTTAGGCCTTACAGCAGTTACAGGGATTGTTTCACCTTTAAATACTTAAACCTAAAGAGATTTTTGACCACTTTACTAATGTAGTAAAGCAACTGCACGATCACTTTTATTATAAAAATAATCCTTAGGTAAAATAGGAATACAAACAATAGTTACACAAATACACATTTACAAATGTGTAAAATAGATAGTTAAGGCACAGAAAAAATAAATATCCCTGTACACTCAAAGACAGGCTAGTCTTAGTCAATAACCAGCCCTTTTATGGTTTCTTCACTTCTCCTGATTTCAGTTGAATACAAGGATTTTCCGATGTGATGTCTGAAAGTTCAGCCTCAATAGACAAGAAAATACTTTCACTTTTAATCCAGATACAGCACAACAAGATTTTTACTGTATTCTGCCAAAAAGCTCCTCCCCTATTCTTCAACCTGCATTTTTGGAAGAGGAGGAAAATTTCAAGTTCAGTCATTTGTTTTTCCCAAGCCTTCAAACTGCTGTAAAGAATTAGACTCAAACACAGGTCAAGCTGCACTCTGAAGCTAACTACCACTGTATGTTTCATTTTAGTTTGTAGCAGGATTTGCATTAAGCTTGCATTCCTCGTAGTTGTAAAAATAATTCTTCATAAAAACACTTTGCTTATCTTGAAGCCTTTCATACAGTCCAAGAGAAGGTGAAATCAAATCAGAGGTAGATACTGTTCATCCTCCCAATTCCTAAGAGCTGTCCATTTGAATTACTCTGGTTTAGGACTGAAGGAGGTATGTAACAGAGCAAGGTTTTGCTGTCTATAGAGTAGTGATTGACTTACATGCCTCACATCGCGTGGTCACTGGCAACATTCAGCAACATGCTTCAGGAATTCATCGCTGAGTTCATCGCTGAAAAACCTCATACAATGAGGGCATCTAAGTTCACCCTGTGCCCTGCCCTCAAGTCCCAAGTCTCCACTGTCCACAGGAGGAGAAGCTTGTTCAGACTGTGAAGATGTCCTTCGTGTGCCTGTTTGGCCTGGGCTATTGCCTCGTAGATGTTCAACGTTCGTCTGTACATACGTATGATTTTGGTTACCAGTGTGAACTCTGAAACGACTACTTGTGTCTCTTGAGTCCTAGAAAGAGAAAAGAAGAGCTATTAAAAAAGATGCACTAAAAAAATATTCAACCGGATATTTTATCACCTTTATCAGAAACTGCTCATGGTTTGATCAGTAGATTTGTAATTAAAATATGCATCAGGTTTTGCAGTTTTATTAATAAAGTTGTGAAGACGACTTGTAGAAAAACACAGAATAGGTCCAGTATGCCACTGTTATGAGTCACAGTCATCCTTCTCTTCCTTCCATGAATTCAACCTTACTATGTTGATCCAAATTAGAACAAAAATGGACTGGAAAGGGGTATTACATGTGTATTGGGAAGCATCTCCACTAGAACTGATTATGAAATAATGCAAGTTTTTGATAGCTGCACTGAGAGGAAATGATTTTAGAAGTACTAGATTTTTTTAAAATACATTAAAAAGTATATTTAGTCCTGAATCCTGTTGACATGCTTTAATTGAAAAAATAGCATGTTGTTTCCTTACCTGTCTTCTTGCTAGCTGGTGTTGCAGGCATGCAATTTCTGCCTGAAGCTCTTGTATTTTGGTCTGTGCTCGTTCTCTGTCTGATCTCTCAGATGTGAAATCATCTTTATAAACCAGGACCTGAAAAAAAGAATTCTTGTGTTAATATTTTATGAATTAGTATGCTGGCAGGTTAGGTCAAAAAGTCGAGGCTGTGATTCCTTTGTTTGTAAACACTTATTCCCATACTCTTAATATTATCTTCTCTATCATATCTGTACTTCTAAAGTATTTATATTTCTTTTTCAGATCTTCCATGTTTTGTATTAAAGCCAGCAGAACTGCATGCAGTTCTTTAAGTAGTGGGTTTTCTTTAAATCTGTGTTCTTAAGTATCTCTATAGGCAAATGTGACAAGCCAAGTGGCAAATGTCAAAGGAAATCATTTCATTTTCCCCCCCTTAGACTTCAGTGGTCTGGGGAGAAATGAAGAATTCCTGCCTCTAGGAAAAAGAAACTTAATGACCTGTTGCTCCAGCATTTGTATGCGCTCATTATCTCCTTCACTAGCCTTCTTCACATCTTCTAATTCTCTCTTTGTTTTTATGCATTCTTTCATTTTTTCTTCCAGTAGCTTGTTTAACCGGAATATCTCCTTGTGCATCAGGTCAGAATTCGTTGGTGCTGAAGGTAGGCCGTGCTGCTGCTCCAGTTGTGCTTTCATCTCTTTTAGCTGCAAGTGGAGTCGCTTCACATACTCATCCCTACTCGCATCGTATTTCTGCCATTTGGCATTTAAGTCTTCCACCTAGAAGATTACCCAGGAGAGTCATGAAGAACACAACACAAAGACACAAACATGAAGACATAAACTTCCAAGCTTTCAGAGTGTTTATGTGTGCAGGACCAAAATTCTTTAAAAGATGGAGGTCACCCTGGCCTAGTGCTGTTCTCCTGGGGTGGAATGCTGCTGCATGGAAGGAACATAAAAATTTTGTTCTGCAGTGTATTTTTAACAACAAAACCCCCAATATATTAAAAATTAATGTAGTAAGTTGTTCTTAGCTAAAGAACAAAGACTATGTGCCCTGTTGAAAGAATAAGAAGTTTGGACTCACATTAAACTGCCATTTATTTAGATTAACCAGGCCTTACCTATTCCAAATGTACTGTAATTCAAAATACTCAATCAAATCTTAATCTTGTACAAAATGAAAATACTCACATGAGCTACTTTTTGTTTTAACATCCTGTTTTCATCTTGTAGGTTGCAGATAAGAGCTTGAAGTGAAGTTTCATTGTCTAAAAGCTGTAATTTTCAGAAAAAGAAAGTGTCGCTTTAACATAAAAATCTCAAATGCTACTTAGCTATGCTATTAATCTGTTCTAAATTCCTCTAGAACTGTTTATCATCAGTGAAACAAATACATCTAGGTCTAATTATCTCCTTATAGTATATTTCTAAATACTAATAGTATGGCCCACAGCTTTTATTATTAACAAGCAAAGCAAAAAAGGTATTCAGGGTTTTTACCACTTTGGTATTGCTTTTAAAATAGATCTGTGTGGTGCCACAACACATCTCTGCCTTACCAAATTCTGAGCCTACTGAAGGTAACAAGAAAAATACCTCATATTTACATGCATGAGGGTCTACCTGATGACAACAGTTTACTCAAACTCCTTGGAAACTACTTGCCTGGAGTGGAGGCATGCATGATGAAGACACAGATGTGCCTTCACCTTGCTTTGTTATTACTGTCAATTTTGGCCACTACTAGGAAGAAATTACTGAGGGGGGGGAAAAAAACCCTGCTTGCTAAATAATTGACTAAAATGATACCTTTTTTTTGCAGTTGTGACATCTGCTTAAAAAAACCCCGGTGTACATGAGTAATATAGAATACTTTTGTACAAAATTCCCTAGAATCAGCTAGTAATTGCATCTGAAATTTCTCTTCTTCAACAGGGAAGTCCCCACTGTACAAGGTTAGCTACTTATTACATGTATCAAAGTCAATCAAGTTTCCTGTCTATCAATTACACGTAAAATATGATAATACTAAAGGCTTCAAGTCCCTTAAAAAGTCCTTTTTTCTTAGATCTAGTCAACCTCTAACTATTTCTTACAGGTAAGTGATGTGAATAAGTTTTCTGTGGAAATGCTCCTGGGTCATTTTCTAAGTGCACACATATGGAGTTTATCATAAAAGCATAGATGAGCAGTCATGTGAAACATGGCCTTACCACTACAAAGCAGTAAGAACATGAGACAGAATTACTCTTTTTTGAGAGAACTGGCTGTAGCATCCTACTCAACACCCCAATCTGCTACTGGAGACAGCACTTCTAATGTTATTTTCTTACAGTATTTTCATGAATTACCTAATGACTCTGAACCATCATGTCTTCTGGAAGAACAGAACAACAAGAACTACCTCTACGCTACATTAAAAGCTTCAGGCAAGGTGATGATGCAGCAAAACCACACAGTCATCAACAAAGTACATCAAAATCCGAGTGTTTCTTTGTGCCCCTCAGTAGCATTTCTGCCACCTTCCTATCATGAAGCAATTTTTCTAAACATCCTTGCTGGAGAGAAACACTGCCCTGCAAAGTGAGGCTGGGAGGAAACTCCACAGCAAAAAAACCAAAGGTAAGACACCTTGACTTGTTCTTCCCTAATCAGCTTTCTGTAGGTCTGTACTATGCATACAGAGCCACATCATGACCTGAGAAGAGTACGTGCTATAGAGTTCTTAATATAAATACTACTTCAAAATATCTGTTTTGTGGTGATTTAGATGGTAAAACAAAAATGAGGAGATACCACCTTCTTAAGCACAGCACCATCTAGTGATGCACAGAAGCATGCTGTGGTATAAAGAATCTGTTTATACAGGGAAGAACTGTAATCATGGACTTGCTGAGGTTGGAAGGGACCTCTGAGAGTTCTCTCCTCTCAGAACAAAGCCTCTGATGGCGAGATGGTCAAAATGCAAGGCACCGACAACTGCTTCCATCCTAAATTGTTGCTACTCAGTTGCTACTCAGAATTATTTAGAGCTTGCCACGGTAGTCTTTTCATCCTACATGAAATTATTTAAGGGGATGTTTCTCACCATTCCCCAATTACAACTATCATATTGTAATTAACACCTCAGAAGGTAGTAACACTTTAGAGAAATACAGCACCAGTAAAAATACCTGATCAGGTCTTTCGGTGGGTATCTGGTCATCTGAACTCCCCTTCTCTTTTCTTTGCTTCTCTTCTAGACATTTTGCCAGATGTTGACACATTTCTGCTGTGGAAGCTAATTTGCGTTGAAGTTGGTGAGTTTCATCAGTGAGTGAACGGCACAAAACATCACTGGTGGCTTGAGCCTTCTCTCTCTCTGCCAGGCTCTTCTGAAGTCGTAAGATTTCTCTCTCCTTTTCATATGGAGGCTGGTTTATCATCTGCTGTATCTCTCCGTTTTTCTCTTCTAGTTGCTGGTTCAACTTCTGTACTTCCTAAATATAAAGGGGAAGGGAAGTTATTGAAAAGCAAAGTGAATTCAAAAGCCAAAATATGTCTAAGACTGAGTTCCATATTGCCATAACTCCATATAATTCCTATATTCACCGCAAAGTACTTAAAAAGTAAAGTAAGTCCAACTCATTTCTAGATAATCACTTGACCTTGGAACTGACAGATCAATCAGTCAAAATCAGGAACTGCTCAGACAGCTGTACAAGCACTTCCTACTCAGTAGAATGAAGGGAAAAAAAGCCCAGCAAAAATTCAGGAAGATTTTATGAAACGATACGCAGCAGCAACAAACTAAAGACAGAACTTACAAAACCCAGAGCAGTTTAAAAGGAATAACTATGGAGTCTGAGAAATGCCTTACTGGTCCTGCTTTCTAAATTACCAGATTACTAGTAGAGATTTGCTTTAGAAAAAAGGGAAGTGGAAAGTCATCTTATCAAAACCAGTGAGGTGTATTCATTGCCTGGAACTGTCAGAAGGACAAAGCAGAGGAAGCATACGCAGCAAGTTTCCCACCTGGGAAAGGATGAGTGCTAAGGATAAGCAAACAGTAAATTAAATCCCTGTGGCAGCAATGACTCTGTTTTGGCCATAGCTGATGGTCCAACGTACATGAGGGGCTCTGACATGCTCCTAGGGAACAACTGTGTATCTCATTGCTGCATGTTCTTACTGAATTGGACACTTTGTGGGATCATCCACACTGCATTAACATCTCTGCAGGTGTTCTGAGAAGGAAGAGGTTTTCTTGCAGACTGGGTTAAACCACTCTGTATTACCATGCATCTGATGTACACCAGTCCTCAGTCTGATATCCTCAAAAGTAGCAGGTGCTGGTAACAGAAACCTCTGCTTGCACTGCTCCTCCAGAATCAACAATGCCTGGGATGCCGGCGTAAACCATGAGACAGGAATGAGCTTGATTTTACCCTTCCAGTTCTTGAGTAGCACTTGAGGAGTGCTAATGGAGCTGTAAACGACCAGGAGCACTCTTCTTTGCCAGCATGCAGGCCTCTGACTTCACAAAATATCTTTTGTTGTTGTTTTTACTGACAATGATTTCAATGTTTCAAATTGGGCATAAAATATTTTTTTCCTAAAAAGAATAAAATTAATATCTAACTTAAAGAAATAGCACTTGCTCTTATTACTGATGTTTAAGTTCTTTAGCATCATGTCAAATGCTAAATTTCCCCTTTGCTATAATGACACTCAGCATCAGACTTCACAATACATTCAGATCCCACAGGTTTGTCATCTATCTGCAAAGTGCAGTAAGAGCATCTCTTGTTACAAATTTCCATACTTGAACTTATTTAAAAGTATTTTAGGTGAGTGTCATACATGGAAAATGTTTTGTATAAGCATGAGGTCAGGAGATTTCTTACAACAAAAATACTTGTTTCAATTTTAAGTATTTGCTTGTCAGTTTGGAAATTACTTTATGCAGCTTCATATAGAAAGAAATGCTTTAAAATTCTTTAAGCATTTCAGGTTGAAAGTCTTAAAGACAGTAACAAAACTGGGACTTGTGGCAGATGGAAGGGAGTGCAATTTTGAGACACTTTTCCTGTCATAAAAGATAAGAATTTCCCTAATCCTATCTTCTCACAATCCAGACTTGCCAAGTACTTCTCCAACTAGTAAAGTGCTGCTTTAATGTCAATACAAGAATCCATTTTTAAATGCAATTAAAAAGCACAACAAAACAACACTGTAATAGAAAAAGTGGTGGCATCAGTTGTTTATCTTACAGAACAAACTGTCACATCTGATGAAGAGAGGAGGATCTTCAGTAAGTAATACATAACTTTGAAATTTAGGGGGTTTTGCTATTTTTCCATCTCCTTGTGAAAATAGTTGTACAAAGATGTATAATGCCATGCTCAGTTTCTGGGTTAGGATTTTATAGTTTGTCTTCCTGAACTTAACGCAGTGGGCACTACTGTTGGATACAGATGGCTGAATTGCTTTGGGCACAATCTGCCTCTGGGCACACAGCAACAGAGCAAGTTCTGTCAAACTGCATAGCAGGGACGGAACACTCACTCTCCTGTCCGGGCTCACTCAAACCAAGTTGGGAAATTCCGACTGGACACAAGAGGAATCACAGTGAGAACAATCAGCCATTGGAATAATTTCCCCAGGGAACTGTTGGATTCCCCAACGTTGGACGCTCAGCTGGTCAGGGTGCTGGGACATCTAGTCTAGGTCATGCTTTGCCAGGAAAAGTTGGACCAGATGATCCTTGGGGACCTTTCCAGCTGGTATTCTACGATTTTGTGATTGATTTAAGTTGTCAGCACCCCGATCTGTTTCCATAAACGCGAGTCTGCATGCAAAAGGCCCACATGCTCCGTTCAAGACAACCACTGCAGGACATAGTAAGCTTAAATTACTACTGCTTTAACAGAGCAGAGCGCGGAAACG